AAAGCTTATCACATTTTTTAAGTTTATATGAGTTTGATAATTTTTACATACCAAAAACTACGAGCTGAAAAAGATAAAAAATTTTCTTTTCACTTTGGAGGTCTCTCACGTGCCCAAAAAAAATTTACAAAAATTTTCGACTACCCATCGTGAAAACTTAAAGCTTTCCCTACAAAATCATTTTTTAAAAATGTTCCTATAATTTTTTGTTTCTGAGTTATTCGCGAGTTAAGTAAAGAAGCATTCTGATTTCGATTGCTCATAACTCCGATAAAAATCATCATATCGCAATTTAAAAAACAGATTCTTAAAGCTGAAACTTTGCTCTAGCGAATGATATAATCGTAACGAAAATTTCGCAACAAATAAACAAACTTTTGAAAAATCAATGAAAAAATCCGCACGGACTTTCCGGACCACCCAATAGAATTTTTTTTAATATTTTACTCTTCGATTGTTAAATAACATCGTTAATGTTTCTTGCTTTAATTCTTTTCCAGCAAAGTGGACAGTGAGCCTCCTCTCGAGAGTGCCCCTGATAAAAAGCCTAAATCCGAGTGGCCGCAAAAAGGCAAGATCGAGTTCAAGAACGTATTCCTCCGCTATGCGCCGCTGGAGCCGCCAGTGCTCAGAAACCTCTGCTTTGTCGTTCTTCCTCGGGAGAAAATTGGTATCGTCGGTAGGACCGGCGCAGGCAAGTCATCCCTGATCCAGGCACTTTTCCGCCTGGCTGACGTGGATGGTTTAATTGAGATCGACGCAATCGACACGAGTCAGATCGGCTTACATGATCTCCGTTGCAAGATCAGCATTATCCCGCAGGAACCATTCCTATTCTCCGGCAGTCTGAGACGGAACCTCGATCCGTTTGATTTGTATCCAGACGAACCTTTGTGGCAAGCCCTTGAGGAGGTCGAGTTGAAGGAAATAGGCTTGGAGGCCCATATCAATGAGGGCGGCTCCAATCTCAGCGTTGGCCAGCGGCAGTTGGTCTGCCTGGCACGCGCTATTGTGAGAAATAATCCAATACTCGTATTGGACGAAGCGACTGCAAATGTGGATCCGCGTACAGACGAACTCATTCAAATAACTATCAGGAAGAAATTCGAGAAATGTACGGTACTAACGATTGCCCACCGACTCAACACCGTTATGGACAGCGATCGCATACTAGTGATGGACGCTGGCAACGCTGTGGTGAGTTTCTTTTTAATAATCTTGCTTTTTCGTGTATTTTTTAGTTGAAATGTACCACCAAATAAATTTAAGTAGATCTGAAATCTTTTCTTGTTTTTGTGATTGTGGTGAATTATTGCAATTATGAATTTATCAGTCATTTTTGTGCTACGTTTTTTTCTGATAAAAAAACTACTTTTTTTCTGATAAAAAAATTTATTTATGATATTTGAGATATTTTAAAATAATATAAATAATATAAATTATATATAAATGTATGACTATTTTATTTTTTGACTTTTATGGTAAATTAATTTTTTAAATCATTTTTGTAGCGTTTTGTTAAAATAAATTTGTTTGAATAAATCACTTATCTGCTAAAATTACAAAATACTATGACTAGATAGTAATGATTATCTTTTTTAAAGTGCTGATAGCATCTAACTTTGTTGCGAGATAAATCGTCGATAAAAGTGATTTTATCATCTCTGATATATTACATAAATGTTTTATATTCGATACGAATCAAACTGTATGGCTTTGTAACGAGAGCAGATCGTAAATCTCAAGCTTTTTCTTCAAATGCATACTTTTATGATGTGCAGGAATTCGATCATCCCCATGTGCTGCTGCAGAAGGAGTCGGGCTACCTGAAGAGCATGGTACGGGAAACCGGCACGGCAATGGCGGAGGCTCTGGCCGGTGTCGCCCGCAACTGCTATCAGAGTCGCGGATTCACGGCGCTTTGATGCATTCACGATGTTAAGTAATTTCTCGTAATTGTGTCTGGGCCTTCTACAGTAAGCCATTAATCAAAAATCAGAAGAATGACGACTGTGATTGGTCAATTTTTAGCTTCTGACTTCTAATTCATGACTTATTGTAGAAGGCCTAT